TACCCTGTACGAACCCCTGTGACGCAGTCACACCCAGATAACAGATAATAGAATCAATTAAGATTAATTAATGTGATCTGTAAGCCTAGAGTGGATTGGTAAAACTTCTCTTTCCCCCCTTCTCGTAAGCTCTAAAATGTGCTAGTATGCAAACAGACTAGTAACTACAGGTGAAACTCGAAAAATTAGAATATCGTGCAAAAGTTCATTTATTTCAGTAATGCAACTTAAAAAGGTGAAACTAATATATGAGATAGACTCATTACATGCAAAGCAAGATAGTTCAAGCCGTGATTTGTCATAATTGTGATGATTATGGCTTACAGCTCATGAAAACCCCAAATCCACAAACTCAGAAAATTAGAATATTCCATGCAATCAATAAAACAAGGATTGTACATAGAACAATATCGGACCTCTGAAAAGTATAAGCATGCATATGTACTCAGTACTTGATTTGGGCCCCTTTTGCAGCAATTACTGCCTCAATGTGGCGTGGCATGGAAGCTATCAGCCTGTGGCACTGCTGAGGTATTATGGAAGACCAGGATGCTTCAATAGCAGCCTTCAGCTCTTCTGAATTGTTCAGTCTCATGTCTCTCATCTTTCTCTTGGCAGTGCCCCATAGATTCTCTATGGGGTTGGGGTCAGGCGAGTTTGCTGGCCAATCAAGCACAGTAATCCCACGGTCATTGAACCAGGTTTTGGTGCTTTTGGCAGTGTGGGCAGGTGCCAAGTCCTGCTGGAAAATGAAGTCAGCATCCCCATAAAGCTCGTTTGCAGAAGGAAGCATGAAGTGCTCCAAAATCTCCTGGTAGACGGCTGCGTTGACCCTGGACTTAATGAAGCACATAGGACCAACACCAGCAGATGACATGGCTCCCCAAATCAACACAGACTGTGGAAACTTCACACTGGACTTCAAGCATCTTGCAGTGTGTGCCTCTCCATTCTTCCTCCATACTCTGGGTCCTTAGTTTCCAAATGAGATGCAAAAGTTTCTCTTATCAGAAAAGAGGACTTTGGACCACTGAGCAACAGACCAGGTCTGTTTTTCTTTAGCCCAGGTAAGACGCTTCTGACGTTGTTTGTTGTTCAGGAGTGGCTTGACAAGAGGAATATGACATTTGAAGCCCATGTCCAGGATCCGTCTGTGTTTGGTGGCTCTTGATGCACTGACTCCAACCTCAGTCCACTCCTAGTGAAAGTCCCCAAAACTTTTGAATGGCCTGTTCCTGACAATCCTCTCCAGGCTGCGGTCATCCCTGCTGCTTGTGCACCTTTTTCTTCCACACTTTTCCCTTCCACATAACTTTCCATTAATGTGCTTTGATACAGCACTTTGGGAACATCCAACTTCTTTTGCAATTACCTTTTGAGGCTTTCCTTCCTTATGGAGGGTGTCAATGATGGTTTTCTGCACAACTGTCAGGTCAGCAGTCTTTCCCATGATTGGGATTCCTACTGAACCAGACTGAGAGACCATTTAAAGGCTCAGGAACCCTTTGCAGGTGTTATGGCTTAATTAGCTGATTAGAGTGGGACACTTTGAGCCTAGAATATTGCACCTTTTCACTATATTCTAATTTTCTGAGATTGTGGATTTGAGGTTTTCATGAGCTGTAAGTCATAATCATCACAATTATGACAAATCACTGCTTGAACTATTTTGCTTTGCATGTAATGAGTCTATCTCATATATTAGTTTCACCTTTTAAGTTGCATTACTGAAATAAATGAACTTTTGCACGATATTCTAATATTTCGAGTTTCACCTGTAGTATACTAGCATGCAAAAACAGACACTTTCCCATGAATAGCAAGCCTACTGGATAGTCCTAAAAAGAACATCCACATTTACTAGAGACAAACCTTGAAGATTTAATCTACTGTGCTCAGTTAATGCCAGGGAATTGTTAACTATACTCACAGAACGTTATTATACTCTCCCCTAAAGTAGAGGAAAATTTTCTTTTTCTGGACTGAGAAGGAGTAGTGGGGCCAGTAAATCACCCACATCCAACTTCTGAGGAACCCCTACAGCCAACAGCACAGGAGTAGGGGATCCTGGAATTGGTAAGGTTGGGCAGGAGTCCCATAACTACCAAGACCCAAAGAGTGTAAGGTGGAGATCAACTCCTGTTTTCACTGTAGAGAAGGATGTAACCAGGCCCGAAACTGCTCAGCCTCCGAGATCAGGCGCATTCAGGGTGATGTGGCCATAAGCCTACAAGCACTGGCGATTCCCTCTCCTCTCTCAAGAGCTATATCCTAAGAAATGCAGTAAAGAGGAAAATCAGGCAGGACCCCCAACTCTGTATCAGAAGCCCCTCTAGCTGGGGAGTGGGTATCCACCCCATCCAGATCAGCCCAGGGACAGGGCCGAGCTGCATCAGGCATTGCCTGCACTGTGGTAAATAGGGGGAGCCCAACAGTGCTCTGTCACATTAATCCCCAATAACCCAGGGGTCCCAAGTGACATTACAGGCTAGGTTAAAACCTATGAGCAAACAAGTGAAAGTGGGTAGGTATAGCAAACTCCAGCTTACCTCTGTCCTGCTGGTGCCAAGGGAGCCAATTCGAGCAGGCGAGTGGAAATTTCAAGGCCTGCAGTATATAGACCATACAAACTGTGCAAGTATACTACAAAATGATTCTGACACACATTCCAATGACAAAGTGCAAAACTCCTATGTGCTTAGGATGCTGGGAACGTCTTCAGCTCCTTTCACATGAACGTTTTGATCGGGCCTGCTTATCCAATTTTCAGACGGACTCGACTGGAACCTTCATTCTCCTCTATGAAGTAGAGGGTGTAACACCCACCTACATCCAATCCGACCCACTAAAAACAGACAGATGGGGATCAGTTCTAAAGCGAGTCGGATGGCAGTTGGGTGTAAACAGACAGGCAGTCCATTTACATCCGACCGCCCATACAGCAGAGTGGGCTGTGTTTGCTCTGCATAAGTGGAGTGAGCATGGACCTGTCATCCACTTGCTCAGCAGGAATCAGCAGACAGAGCAAGCTGCTGAGCAAGCGGATTGCAGACAGAGTCCGCCCTGTGTGAAACTACACTGACAATTAGAGATGAGCGAATCGAACTTGGCGAAGTGGAATTCGTTTCGAATATTAGGAAAAATTCGATTCGCACCGAATCCGAATTTTAGCAAACTTCGGGTGCACGAATCGAATTTTCCCCGATCAGCCGGCAAAAAGTGTCACTGCAGAGAGCTCCGCTATTTCTGACAGTTCTCTGACAGTTCCTTCACATTTACAGCGGTTGAAACATTGTATCTATTTGTTTCCATTTAGGATACAGATGTTTTTATTCGGAAACAAATAGATACAATGTTTCAACCGCTGTAAATGTGAAGGAACTGTCAGAGAACTGTCAGAAATAGCGGAGCTCTCTGCAGATACACTTTTTGCTGTACTGGAATTCTTCTTCTTTTCATTCTGCTTCTTCTTTTCATTCTTCTTCTTCTTCTTTTCATTCTTCTTCTTCTTTTCATTCTTCTTCTTCTTTTAATTCTTCTTCTTCTTTTCATTCTTCTTTTCATTCTTCTTCTTCTTCTTTTCATTCTTCTTCTTCTTTTCATTCTTCTTTTCATTCTTCTCATTCTTCTTTTCATTCTTCTTTTCATTCTTCTTCTCATTCTTCTTTTCATTCTTCTTCTTTTCATTCTTCTTTTCATTCTTCTCATTCTTCTTTTCATTCTTCTTTTCATTCTTCTTCTCATTCTTCTTTTCATTCTTCTTCCTCTTCTTTTCATTCTTCTTCTTCTTCTTTTCATTCTTCTTTTCATTCTTCTTCTTCTTCTTCTTCTTCTTCCTCGCCGTGCCCCGTGACTGCCCAAATGAGTGAAGTGTGCGGTGATTCTAAGATCGACGGCACTCATCTGCATGTCATACTGACTGTCAGTATTATTTCTCTTCCCCAGCAGACTCCAAGGGCATTTAAATTAAAGGTACAGTGTTCTGCACTAATATAAAGGCTCTCTGAAGCCTAGAAACCCTTTTAATAAGTTAAATTCGCAGCGAATAAATTTGCATCGAATCGAATTTCTCCCGCATATTCGGCAAATCAGCCGAATCGAATTTTTGAATAATTCGCTCATCTCTACTGACAATCCCATAGCGCATTCTCTTATCACACTCTGGTTGCTTTTAGACTACATTCACACTGATCCTGGTAAAAATGCATATGTGTTTTTACTGCATTTTTACCTTCTTTATAGGACGTGATTCAAAAAAGCAACACTGGTGCATTTTTTATGCATTTTTGCCACGTTTTCCATGGATTTCAATGGGGAGGTGAGTTTTTAGTGTGGGCTTTTTACCACACCAAACAGGGTTGCCACCTCATCCCTTTAAAACCGAACACATAATGATTACACAGGTTCTGGGGCTTATTTAATGCAGATAAGGCACTAATAGAGTTTAATTAGCCACAGAACCTGTGCAATTAGTATGTGTTCGGTTTTAACCACTAGCCTACCGTGCACTTATACCCCCTTCCTGCCCAGGCCAATTTCCAGCTTTCAGCGGTGTCACTCTTTGAATGACAATTTCGCGGTCATGCAACACTGTACCCATATGAAATTTTTATAATTTTTTTGTGACAGATAGAGCTTTATTTTTGTGGTATTTAATCACCTCTGGGTTTTTTATTTTTTCTTAAACAAACCAAAAACCACTGAAAAGTTTGAAAAAAAAATGTTTTTTCTTAGTTGTTGTTATAAAATTTTGTAAATAGGTGATTTTGCTGCTTCACTGATGTGCGCTAATGAGGCTGCAGTGATGGGCACTGATAAGCTGCACTGATGGACACTGAGAGGTGGTACTGATGGGCACTGATGAGGAGGCACTGGTAGGTGGTACTGATGGGCATTGACAGGCATCACTGATGGGCACTGAAAGGCAGCACTGATATATGGCACTGATAGGCGGCACTGATAGGCGGCACTGACTGGCACTGTTAGGCGGCACTGACTGGCACTGTTAGGCGGCACTGATAGGCAGCACTGACGGGCACTGATAGGTGACACTGATGCACACTGATAGGCGGCACTGACTGCCACTGATTAGCAGCACTGATAGCTGGCACTGACTGGCACTGATGGGTGACACTGAAAGGCAGCTCAGATGAGCACTGATATGTGGAATTGATGTGCACTGGTAGGCACTGGTAGACACTGATATGTGGCATCAATGTGGCACTGATGGGCACTAGCAGGTGGCATGGATGAGCACTGATAGCTGGCAATGATGGGCACTGATAGGTGGCACTGCTGGGGCTACACTGATCATCAGGGTACACTGATCTCCGAGGAATGCCGATTACCGGCTCTCCTCTCCTCACGAGCTGTCAACATGACAACTCGTGAGGAGAGAAATGCTGAAAATCGGCATTTCCCTGTTTACATGTGATCAGCTTTGATTGGACACAGCTGATCACATGACCGAACCAACATCTTCGGCTCTTTCCATGCATCGGTGATCCGCTGTGTCCGAGGGACACAGCGCACCGCCGATCGCCACATTGCACGCTCCCGGAGCCACGCATGCGCAGTAAGATTGGGAGCACATCATATGACGTTCTCCCAGAATGAGTCATTGGACTATATGGCGGGCGGGAGACCGTTACAGGGATGAGGTGGCAACCCTAACACCAAATCTACACCAAAAATGTAGCAAGCAGGATTTTAAAAACGCACCTGACCCACAATGGATCAGTGTGAGGAGTTCCATAGGAGTACATGGTCACACGTTTTTCCTCTGCTTTTTTTAAATGCAAAAGCAGAAAACAGATCAGCATGAAAGTAGCCTTACTTGCCACGGGAACATAAACTAGACCTTAATCAGAGAATCTCAAACTCAGACATCCATCCATTTCTCCATGCTTTATTTTGTAGAAAAATCACTCATTCATGTAGCGTTGACAGTACTTCCTGGAATTTTGCCTTAGCTCAGGAATGCATGCAGTATGGTCTGCCTAGCTGAGAAAACCCCTCCTCCTGTCCTCAAGGTGAAAGTAAAAAAAAATAAAGATTATGAAGACTACGGGGATGTATGACATCATACTGGCCTAGGCTATAAACCAGGAAGTAACAGAAGAAAAGTAAGAAAAAAAGTTTCATATAAGTAAATATAACAGAAAATTGAATGACAGATACCGTAATTTTCCTTTCCTGATAGGCTCCATGCCAGCACAGCTGGGTAAGGGCCCCGTCCCTCATGATTCCAGGACCTGACTCATAAATTTGAGCCCACCTGCAGCCTCAGTGTTCTGTAAATAGTCCTTCCAAGCTGGGTGGGAATTGTGCTGACATGGAGCCCATCATGAAAGGAAAATTACAGTATGTATCTGTCATTCAATTTCCAGTTTTCCTGAAGCTACATGTCAGCACAGCTGGAAACTAACTAGCCACACAGGGATAATGCTACACTCCTCAATTCTGGCTAAAAAGCAGAAGCCAGGATGCCTCTGCCAAACTCAACTGTCATTAAGACTGCTTCTATACAGTAATGAGCAATGAACTTATATATTGACCCCCATGTGGCTGCTTGCAGATAGTGTCTGGGCACAGGCACACTCAGTCTGCTGCCGCTCACAAAGTTGAGACCCTTTAGGTGGACAGAAGTGATCCACCCTGGCACAGCTAACCTTTTCAATTTATAGGCCAAGGAGATTAGCTTCACCAACCAGGAGGCAATAATCTTATTTGAAGCCGTAAAATCACTACACACTCCACCTGGAATGACAAACAAGTGCTCTGACTTCCTGTTGCCAGATCTTGCCTTGATGTTAAATTTTAAGGCTTGGCCCACATCTGATGGGCTAGCTTTTTGGCTACTCCCCAAGAGGGATGTAGGAAGGACAACTTTCTGGGTGATATGGACTATGAAGGCAACTTAGGCATGATCTTGAGCATCAGCATGAATACCACCCTATCCAAGATGAGCTTAGGACAGGATTCTTTAAACCCCAGGGCCGCTAATAAGGACACTCTTCTGGTTGATGTAATTGCCACCAGGAAAGCAGTTTTCAGCGAGAGGTACTACAAGGGGCCACTTTTATTGAAGGCATCTGATGCAAGCAAGTGCAACACCAATGGGAGATCCCACTTCACAAACAATCCCTTAGGTAGGTTTCAACCAAGTTGCAGCTTGAAGGACAGTATAATTGATGTCCACTGTATGCCGGTGAAGGCAGAGATAGCTGAAATGTGGTCCCATAGAGTACTTACACATAAACCTAAATCAAGCCCCACCTACAAAAACTTCAGAATGTGACAGACTTGGAGAGCCCAGCGTAAAACCTTGATCAGCAGCAATCCTGTGAATTTATGTCATATTACTACTATAGGCACTGTTAGTGCTGTTGTTCTTTGCTTTCATAAGAGTATTTACAACCTTTACAGAGCCCGTGAGATCTATTAGCCTCTGTCTCTCAAGACCCAAGCCATGAGCTTGAGCCTGTCAGGTGTTGGATGAATGTGACTTCAGAGAATCCGATCTTACCGGCAGAGGGAGTGAATCCTTGGCACTCATTGGGGTCAGGGGGTACCAAGGCCCCTTCAACCAATCTGGGATCATCACCAGAGTGGATCCTTGGCACTCATTAGGAGGGGCAGAGGGTACCAAGACCCCTTCAACCAATCTGGGATCACCACCAGAACTATCACCTTCCCCTGCCACAGCCTCAGCAGGAAGCCGAGAATCAGAGGGAGAGGCAGAAAGGCATAAGCTGTCCTGGAGATCAACTCTGCGATCAGCACCTCCACCCCCATTGCTTGTGGATGCTGGACCCTGGAATAGAAAGTAACTTTATGTTGACTGAGGATGTGAACAGTTCTACCTCTGGAGTTGATTACCAAGTTCGTTAGTTCTCAAAAGACTTGCAGCAGTCTGGGCTATTCATTGTCGTCCAGGATTGTCCTGGACAAATTGTTTGCCTAAAGATTCCCCCGACCGGGCATATAGCTGCAGGATATTTACTTGGACCAACTCTAGAATCAGATGAAACTCTTTCAGAAGGGTGACACTACGTGACCTCTTGTTTCCGGATGTAGGCCACAGTGATTGTGCTGTCTAACTTCACCAGGACAGGTCCACCTTGGATGAGGTCACTGAAGGCTAGGAGAGCCTGAAATTCAGTTCTTAACTCCTACTTTGCTGGTGTCTTACTGCACCACCAGTCACTAGGTCCTCAGATGGGAATGGCATCGTAGAAGATTCTGCTTTTCCAACTACAAGTTTTGGCTCGCTTCCATACAGGGCATAATCCATATCTTCTCACGTCGGCCCTCTGAGTCTACCTGACCTGCTGGATCTGAGATGTGAAGGATTAAAGATCTCCCAAATATGACCTGAAATGCCTGCCTTGAGTGATTATGTTTCCGCACCAAAGCTGTACCTATGTCCAAGGAGAGACCACCAAGTGCCCATAAGACATGTATGGTTGGCACAATTCCTAAAATACCAGAAAGCATGTGGGGAGTAGGTTGAAAGAATCCTGTGGATGTGGGGCGGAGCCTGAATATGGCGGTGCAGGAGAGCACAATGTAAGCGCTCTCCGACAAACATCCATTTCCATCCACCCCAAGAGCCCTCCTAATGGAAGTCACCGGAGACCTACCTGGGTGAGGGGGTTATCCGGTGGAGCTGAGCCAGTTCTGTGGATGGGGATTGAGAGAGCGGGCCCCAGGTTTCCTGTGTTGCACCGGTGGAGACCCAGGATGGAGCATTGGGTTGCCAGGGAGACGGAGTGACGCGGCGTGACAGGTCTACAGACAGTTGCACAAAGAAGAGACCCTGGAGGAATCCCCCCAAGAAATTGAATAGAGGAGGAATATCGGAGAATTGCAGCCTGGAGCCGCCTCACAGGAGAACCGAGAGAAAGGAGGGTGAGTGAGATTGGCCTAGGCTAGCTACATATTGGAGTGTGTGATATATTTAAATGCTCAGTAAAGGAGAAAAGGGGGATTCTCAGGGGATATATGAGGATGGAGAAGAGGAAAAGGGGTTAATCGGCCCTAGAAGAGGATTTTAATGTGTAAATGGACAAATAGTAGATTAAATCCGGCTTCCTAGTACATAGTCTTAATATTTACCCTGGTTTTTTAGAAAAGAACAAGTTTCACAAGAAGATATGAAGAACAAAAACGCTAAAGGAAGTGGGCTTAAAGGGTCCCAAACTGGCACGATTAAAAAATACACGTCTCAGGGAAATGTGACTCCAGAAAGGCCCCAAGGTGGAAGTGAAAAAGGGGAAATGGAAATTAGCTTGGAAAAAAGCCCCAGATTATCTCTGGGAATGAATAGTAGTAGTCAACAAATGATAGAAAATATGGAGAGGAAAGACCCTGAAAGTGATCTAAAAGTACCGAATAAAAAAGAGATGGTGGAAATGTTCAAAAATCTGGAAAAAACAATAAAGCAAGAAATGGAAACTATTCGGAAAGATTTGGGGCATTTGTTACTAAGAGTGGAAGAAACGGAGGAAAAAGTTAAAAATCATGCCCAAAATATTTCCAAATTAGAAAAAAGGACAATTACTGTTGGGAAAGTTTAGAAAAAATTGCTTTATAAGTTAGAGGTACAAGAAAACAGGGACAGGAGGAGTAATCTTAGGATACAAGGAGACCCAGAAATCTCAAAAGGGGAAGAACTACAAGAATTAGTTTGTAAAATCTCAAACTCCATAATGAACAGACCTGATATAGAGTTGGTTAAATTGGATGGAGTCTTTAGAACAGGAAAGTCTCAACAAGTAAATGGGAAGGAAAAAGCGAGAGACATAATTGTGCAATTCAGTAAGTATGGAGATAAGGAAGAGATTTGGAGGAAGTATTATTATTACAATTATTAAGTATGGAGAAATAAACATTCAGATTTTTGCGGATTTAAGACCTGAGACTTTGTGGAGAAAGAGATCTTTGAAACCCCTGTTAAAGCAGATGAGAAAACAGAATGTGCATTATAGATGGGGTACTCCAGTGTGCCTAATTGGATGGAAGAATGGAGTTACAGCTTATCTGAGATTCCCTGAGGACTTGAGAGACTTCTGTGAAAGACTTGATTTGCAAAGAATAGAGATTTTGGGATGGGAAGAAGAGGGGGAAATAGGAGTTATGGGGAAGGAGGTCTGGCAGTTTGTTAGAAGGGGGAAGTAAGGTGGAGAGGGGGGAGGGGTTTTTTTTCTCTCTCTTCCTACTCTTTATGGTATGTCTTCTAGAGTTTCATGTTTAAGAGTTTGGTGGAAATCTATCAAGCTAATTAGATAGACAGAGGGTAATTGGGGAGGTGAGAAGGAGGGAGAGCCATTCATGGGCGGAGTTTAGCCCCAATATTGGAATCAAAGGTGGGTTTGGTCCCACAAATGATTAGTAGGCAAACTAGAGGCCTAAAAATGGGTAGGGCAGTAAAAGGGGGGGAACGGGTGTGGGGGAGGGAATGGATTGGGAGAGGGGTCGAATAGGAAGGGGGGCGGAGGAGGTGGGGAGGGGAATTAAGGCTAACACTCTGCATGATGAGAAAAGATATAAAAGTAAAGAGCGAGGAAGAGAGGGGATGGAGGTGAAGAAAAGAGGTATAAAAAGGATGGAAGAACTACAGTTTATAACTTATAATGTAAATGGGTTGAATTGTCCTGGGAAA